CTAATGTCAAAATCAGCCTGATGTCTGAATATGTACCAACTGTTACCATAATGATTATAATACCTCAATCAAAAGCATACAACTATGAGAACATTAAACTGACAGTCATCTTTTATGTTCTTTTAATAGTCTATAACTTATACCCATCTTTTTTTCCCATACACTTATGACTCGACTTTATTTTTAAATGATGGCAAGATATACTGCTTCCTCAACCATGTTTCTCCTTGCCAAATTCTGTAATTTTGCTTACATGGGACAAAGTCTTTATTATGTCTATAGGACTTATCTTTTGCCCTTTCCGCTTTTCAGGACTGTTTTATCATCTAACACACACATCTCACCCTCAACATCTCTGCCCTGACGAGGTTTCAACTCTTTAAATTATTAATGATTAATCTGCTCTCTGTGTCCTTTTTCTATATAATAAGCTTTTTTTCTTCCCACTATACTAATCTCCCTAATGTTTTAAATATATATTCTTATTTATTAAAGGAATCAAACAGGGTATTTTTAATTCCTTACTAAAAACTAAGTATACAGCATTACAATAAAAATGATTATTTTCATTCTAATCAATGTGAGAACATGCTGGCCAAAACTTGGATAGCCAATAGAGATAATTCCCCTAAAGATTTACCAAGTGATGTCAGTCTAAATCTGCAAAGGTTGGACCTGATCAGATTGTTTACTAGACTGAATTTAGGTAAATCTGCATGATGAACATGAGTTACTTCATAGTCAAACATGCATTACTTACATCAGAACTTAAATCCTGGCCTCCTAAGAACAAAGAAAGTTTACAATATTGAAAAGATTATAGGATATTATCTAAAAAAGTGAGCTTCTGGATTTTTGTTTTTGTTTTTCTGACACAAAGAACTGAAAAGATTCTTTAGGCAAAATAACAGCTTCTGATACTGAATCAAGATGATTCTACTGTTTAATTCTAACATGTAAATGACATCAAAATTAAGATATCTGTATTATTAAAAGAATATTCTTTTATCAAAAAGGAAAATCGAAAACATTATTCTAAGTAAAATAAGAAAGTCAAAAGAAGTTAAGAACCATATGATTTCACTCATATGTGGGATATAAAACTAAAACTTGTGGACACAGACAACAGTGTGGTGGTTGCCAGAGGGAAGGGGTAGGAGTGGGTAGTGGAGGAGGCCTAATATATGGGTCGGAGGATGGTTTGACTTTGGGTAGTGCAGTGCAATATACAGACCATGTCCTATTAACCAATGTCACCCCAATAAATTTAATTTTTAAAAAGAAAAGAAAGAAAAATTAACTGACTTTGACTTTAAACCACATCATCAGCTGTAAAGTTATCTTAGTTTAGTTTCTTTAAAAGCTACAAACAATATCTGTATGTAAAAGTAATTTAAAAGAAAGTGTATATTCTCATGTAGAAGGGGAATGAGGAAAGCTTATGCAAGCTGTTAATCTCCCCAAAATCTGCTCTTACCAAATTTTGGAACACTTTTAGAATTATAAATAAAAATGCTAAGTTACATTATTATCATATTTATAGAACACAAAGTACATTATATTCAAATCTAGATTGAAGTTTAAATATACTTTAAGATTATCAAGCTAGTCATTTAATACTTATATTTAATATTTCCTTAATCATAAAGTTAATTCTTGTGTCATTTACCTGATATGAAAAAAATGTCCAAAACATAACATATTTTAAAATTATTTTTCTGAAGGTCAGTCACCTAACAAAAGTCATTCATAATTTATGGTATTTCTATGGTTTTAATTAATTCATTTTAGTTCACACATTTTTATATTTGCATTTCAATGGAAATTATACGAGTTAGAATATATGTACTGAAGAATAAATCTATATAACTGAATTGATATGAAACCTATTTAATCTAGAACATTTCTAAAAACTTCACTGAGCTGCCATAATTTTTGTCAGCGTATGTAGTACTGAATGACCATTAAAATACCTGAATTGAAACTATTCCAGTCTAGCAGTTTGTAAGATCTTGTGTTACCCATAATTCCGACAAAGGCTGAGTTCAAAACAGCAAATTAGAAGATCAGTTTTAGGTGCAGAATAGTAGGGGGGGAAAAACAAACTATAAACAAGAACACAATTGACAACACCACTCGACAGGAACTGGAAAGACACAGACAGCAGAGTTAATAAGAAGTTGAAATAGAAAAAGAAGAAGGAGCATGCTATCATAATCTAACATTAACTAAAGTTTAATTATTTAAGATAATTACCTTGATTTTTAAAACCACCCCATTTGTTCCTTTATTATGTGACCTGGTTTGCTAAGTACTTAACAAAGGAGAAAGTTCAAAAGAAATAACTCCAAAATAATAATCCATAGAATTAGCAGGTGGTAGTGGTTTTAAAATAAGATTTTTTTCGTCTACACTCAGTTTAAAATGCAAATTTCCCATACTCACTAGTCAAAAAAAAATTGCTGCAGCATTCATTTGAGAGTGCAAATACAGCACTTTTAACATTAGCACATGTATCTCAATTCACCCTAAGTTCTGCAGATGAACTCAGTGTCATAAAATTAATACATCATTATGGTAGATGCTAATCTAGAGTTTTGTTTTGTTTTCACATTCAGCTATTTTCAACAAATTGAAATGTTTTTATAAATAATTATTTAATGGCCTGAAGATTAAGAAAATGTTCTTAAGAAAATGTTTCTTTTTAAAGTGTAAAAGATGTATTAAGCAGTCAAAAGAATGTGATATCTATATCAAATTAACACTGGAACCTTTAGAATATACAACTGATTTGTATTTAACTGAAGATAAAACAAACTTAAAATATAACTTATATACCATTAAAGCATTTATATGTTTATGTCCATAATCATTGGGAAACAGCCCATTATTAACTAAGAATTTCTACATGTGAATTGAAAAACTACTCTATAAAGAAATGAAAGGCAAAGAATGAATGAGCTAGTAATTACAGTATACAAAATGTGTTCTTAATAAGGGTTCTTATTTTCTTCTCTGGGCCTGGATTCTTACATTTCTTGCACAGCTAGATTATACTGACAAGTACAACAGATCCCACAATGCAGTTTTTTGTACAAAATAATATGATTTTAAATATAGCTCTCTACTTAAACTTATTTAAATAACCTTCATTTGTTCTCCCAGACTCGCATACTACTTACTCAGAGTACATGGAAGCAACAATAAAAATGTAAATAAGCCCTAGCCGGTTTGACTCAGTGGATAGAGTGTCAGCCTGAGGACTGAAGGGTCTCAGTTCAATTCTGGTCAAGGGCATGTACTTTGGTTGCACACTCCTCCCCTGGCTAGGCCCTGGTTGGGGTTCATGCAGGAGGCAACCAATCGATGTGTTTCTCTACATCGATATTTCTGTCTTTCCCTCTCTCTTCCACTCTCTCTAAAAATCACTGGAAAAAAATATCCTTGGGTGAGGATTAAAAATAAATAAATATTTTTTTAAATGTAAATAAAAAGACATTACCAATAATTGAATATATTCCTAATATCATTTTTGAAGTTATTATATAAGTGTATGCAATCTATCAAAATATTTGAGTCAGCGGCCCACAGAAACACAGGCAACTAGCCTTGGTCATATAGTGTCATGTATCTAAACCCAGTATTTCCTTGCACTTTCCAAATAATCCAAGTTCTTAAACACAAAAATATAAACTTTGCATATCCTCAAGGTCTCAATCCATTAAACTGGCATCAGTCTAAATTTGCCTTTAATTACTGCAGAATATACAAATACTATATGGGGGAAAAAAGTTCTTAAATTGACCAGAAAAATAAGAAACAGGGGGGAAAATAATAAATCATAGGAAAAAAGAAGACTGATGCTTAAAAGATGTATTCACTCAGCTTTAGAGTTTTTATAAATAATCCCAGCTAGTATTGCTTCTCTGAAATCTTGTTCAGAGTCTAAAAATTCCGTTGTTTCTCTGTAATTAGTAACTCAAAATAAATGACATCAAACCACAGGGCACAGATTACTGTATTTAATTTAAAAGAATAGTAATTTTATGTATCCTCAAAATCATTATCTGCAATGTTTGGCATTAATAATTTCAAAGCATTTCACTCTTTTTATAGTTGTCAGTACAGGCCTCAGGAGGAGGTCATTAGAAGTGACAATTTAAATTTTTCAAAAGTATGTATGTGTATATGCCAAATAAGAATATTAGTATAACTTCAGGTTTAAGGTATGACATTAAGATAATAAATGCCTTGAGCAAGTGATTGGGCATCTTGTAAGAAAGATGCAAGAACACATTCCATACGAAAAGTTCCTACCACATTTATCGTGCTTATTTTAGATTTAAAAAAATCACCAAACCATTTTTAACCCAAGGGCCTGAAATTACCGGGACTTTAATGCTTTTCTTCTTTTATAATGATGGCCCATGTCTTAAAGGAGTGAGCTTTCATTCTTACTTGTTCGGTTATACAGAACAAATAGCTACCCAAAAGAATCCAAGGAATCAGACAGTTTTCTTTTTAAATTCTTAGGTACTCTACACAGGTTTACAATTATATTTTAAAAGAATACTTCTTTTAGGAATAAGGAAATAACTCAAATAATCTATAAAGGGTTATTGCCAGAAAAATATAAAAAAAGAGTTATTGCCAATCAAAAGAACTAACGCCTTAATTTAATGGTCGCAATGGGTCAACTGTATCTGCCTGGCTCAAAGAAAATAGAGGACTCAAAAGATACTTAATGATTCCCTTGGCCAAAAGTGAATCAAGATTTGTATTTTTATTTTGTATAAAAACGTAACTAAATTATACTTCTTCTTAAGTGTATTTTTAATTAAGGTCAGTGAAAATATTTTAAAGCTACATATGTCAGTTTATACTCTTTGTCATTTCTCATGCAGATAAATTTGGCTTAAAAACAGCATTATAAAAATCAACTTTAATAATCATAGTCTAAATAAATAAAACATCAAAAAACAAACTTTTAAAGAACATACCAGGATTGTGGATACGATCCAAAAGCTTCACAGAGCGTGCACTAACAACACCCCCAACGTGCACAAGAAATCCAGGAGGAAATGCCGTCAAGGTAAAAAATGGAAATTCCTAGTAGAAACAAGAGGAAAAAATATAACTGAGTGTGTAAAGTACAAAAAATTTGCTTGTTAAAAAGCTGTCATAAGGAAATAAATTCCATCCCTTAACAAAGGTTACCAATTATACATTACACATGCTTTGTATGTAAGTTTCCTTGGATGTATAGAGTTTTTAATCCACTTTCTCATATATGCAGAACCCAAGCACTCTTTTCATCAATTCCCAGTAAGAAAAATGTTCTTGGAGTTCCTTCCTCTCAATCTCCTACTCTGACAGGACTTCGAATTGAGATGAGGAGATTCCCCTCTACCCCATACCTACATCTTATTGGGACTGACTCCCCCTCACTTTAATGCTTTTCCCCAAGTCCAGGCCACTGGTAAGACTCAGAAGGCCTGGAGCTAGAGATCTAAAAGAATGTGGGACTGAGGGAGATGTAGGGAGAGGATGAGCCGTGTGGGTTAAGAAATACATAGAACAGTGAAGACAGGGAAAATTTCAAGTTGAGGTGTGTAGAGAATCGCTGTGTGATTATTTACTCTATCAAGACCAGGGCAGCAGGAGAAAATGTAAGTTCATAAATGTATTTTAAGGAAAGGAGAGAGGTAAGTGATGACAGCAAGGGAAGCAATACAATTCCACACGTTTTTTGAAGCTATATTCTTCCTTTCTCTCTCAAGGACATCAATCTCATCAATTTAGAGACAAAGAGAAGCATGTGAGAGAAGAAAACAGTAGAGAAAGGAAAGTCATTGAAATAGTACCCAGGAAGAAAAGGGAGCCCCTGTAGCTGCCCAAATATAAAGGTCTATCACATTATTCAAATTGCATTTGGGTCAGGGAACTAAATATCTGACTTGTCTTGCTCCAAGATTAATATAGCTCACTTAACCAGAAATCACTTACGAGTAGCCTCAGCTATTCAGAACCTAACTGAGAACTGGAAAATAAGCAAAACAGGGCTCTCAACAGTAAAAAGAACTGTTACGGTTCCAAGTACTAAGTTTATGTGCTTTATTCATAAGAAATCCCCACTGATCATAATCACAGTATGGCATATAATAATTTTAAAGATATAACTTTAGGGATATATTCTAAAATCTCAGTATCCTTTTCCCAGACCACAGTAGATTAAATGCAACAAATAAAAGCTGGAAGATAAAGAGATACAGAATACTACTAGAAGCAGGTACATTAAAAGCAGCAAGAACACTGACTGAAGAATACAAACGTAAAAGATGGAGAATACAAATTCACCAAAACATAATTTAACAAAGCATAGCAATTGGATTCATTCAGCAAAAGGCAAACAGTTTGGTACATCTCAGTAACCCAGGAAGGTACAGAATAAATATATATATGTATATGTATATATGCATATATATGTATGTGTATGTATATATGCATGTGTATGTATATATAATTAGAAGGTAATTCAGTTAGAATATATAAGTAATCTTTACATTAATAAGGGCAAGAAAGCCTAGGCTATGTAAAGAAGAGTAAAAAAACAATTTATGGAAGTGTGTAGGTATGGCCCAAATGAAAGCAGAGTAAAGGGAAGGCAAGGGAGAAGACAGAAGGGGAATTTCACTTAAATGTATTACAAAATATTTGGTCAAAATGCCTTCTTATTGCCCCCTGAACTTTTTCAATATATATTTTAAGTGAAAAAATGTCCAGGTAAGCTTGTGTTACTACAAACTTGAGTATTTTACCTAATAAGCTAAATCTTAGAAAAAGAATTTTTTCAACACAAGTTTTTAATTTCCTCAAAATACTGAGGCATAATATGAAAAAGCCCTTTAAATTTACTTTTTACATTTAAATATAGGATGTCCCAAAAATATATACACATACATATTTTCGATAGCTCAATTGATGTTTCTTTCTTTTCCAATTTAACCCATTGGAATTAATAATTATTCAAAGTGTGTATACATTTTTTGGGACATCCTATATTATAAATATTCTGGACCAGAGACACTGAAAATAAGTTTTTTAAGCAAATGGAAAGTACTACTTCCTTCTAAAACATAAAAATAAATTGGGTAAATTCACATATTAAAAACTTCTGCAAGCCTAGCCGGTTTGGCTTAGTGGATAGTGTTGGCCTGCAGACTGAAGGGTCCCAGGTTCGATTCTGGTCAAGGGCACATGCCCAAGTTGCAGGCTCAATCCCCGGGAGGGGGTGGGGGGGTATGGAGGCAGCCGATCAATGATTTTCTCACATTACTGATGTTTCTCTCTCTCTCTCTCTCTCTCTCTTCCTCTCTGAAATCAATAAAAACATATATTTTTTTTAAATCTGCATATAAGACTTGACGTATGAAAAAATGAACCTAAATGCTTTCCCTATTTCGGATTCTTTGACTCTTCTACTCAAATTTCTGAAGATGGGATAAATGAAGAGGAAAAGCATCTAGAGCAGTGGTTCTCAACCTTCCTAATGCTGCGACCCTTTAATACAGTTCCTCATGTTGTGGTGACCCCCAACCATAAAATTATTTTCGTTGCTACTTCATAACTGTAATTTTGCTACTGTTATGAATCGTAATGTAAATATCTGATATGCAGGATGTATTTTCATTGTTACAAATTGAACATAATTAAAGCATAGTGATTAATCACAAAAACAATATGTAATTATATATGTGTTTTCCGATGGTTTTAGGCGACCCCTGTGAAAGGGTCGTTCGACCCCCAAGGGGTCACGACCCACAGGTTGAGAACCGCTGATCTAGAGGGTCACAGCAGAAGATGTAGGAAAATAGCTGCCCAAAGAGGCAGAGGCCAACTTCACCTCTGTGCTGCATGTCCCCGGTTCATGCATGCAGCACACCCACTCACTTTAACACACATACTTTAACCTACAGTATAGAAAATGGCAATTATTCAACCTCAGAACTACTGCTCATGTCTACAGCCTACCTGTAGCTATGAGGTTTACCACCTATCGTCTCCACCACAATCACCAGCAGCTATGAAGTACTCAGAATGTGCCAGCCCTGAGCAAAGTATTCTAAAACTGTCCTTTAAAATTGTTCCCATACCCTAAGAAAGAGGTACTATTATCTCCACATTTTAGGTAAAAAAAAACAAAACAACTGAGCTCAAGAGGGCCTAGACCAGCGGTTCTCAACCTGTGGGTCGTGACCCCTTTGGGGGTCGAACGACCCTTTCACAGGGGTCCTAAGACCATCGGAAAACACATATATAATTACATATTGTTTTTGTGATTAATCACTATGCTTTAATTATGTTCAATTTGTAACAATGAAAATACATCCTGCATATCAGATATTTACATTACGATTCAAAACAGTAACAAAATTACAGTTATGAAGTAGCAACGAAAATAATTTTGTGGTTGGGGGTCATCACAACATGAGGAACTGTATTAAAGAGTCCCGGCATTAGGAAGGTTGAGAACCCTGGCCTAGACTCTTACTGAACAACAAACCTCATCTGGCTTCTTATTATTTCTGGTTAAAACATTAAGTTAAAGAGTTGATTTTAATCTCTAGTCTATTATTATACCTGATGAATGTATGGGTTCTCTAGTCCACAAGGACAGCTTCCTTAAGATCAGCCCAACCACACACTGCTTTCATTGCTCAGATGAAACTTCCAGGGACTATAGGAGACGTTTCCTCTGGAAAATCCTTATATTTAAAACATCTTGCCCTTTGGGACCTAGATAAGACTTCATATGTTGATGTTTTGACATAAGCCAAGTGCATGTAGCATAAATCTATTAATAGCATGTACTCAGGACAGGCTAGTTGAAAAATCTTGAGAACACAAGGGAGTATCTCTTTTAAGATTTAAATAGGATTTTTCTTAGATGTTTAAATAGCTTATTTTTAAATCATATGTTCTTTTTATTATCCTAAGAGACCAGAGTAACTCTCTAGACATAAAACTTCATGCCAGATTCCTATGATTTATTATATAATTTTACCCCCACTTCTACAAAAGTCATAATTTATCAAATAAGTTTGCTCTTTATCAATGTTTCCCCAAAATGTGTTCCTCACTAAAACATATTTAAATGAAAGATTCCATGGTAAAATATATTTAAAAAACACTAGGTCAAACTAAGTTAACTAGGTTTCTTTACTGAAGAAAAATAAACATCCCAGAATCGACAGAGTAATTTTATTTTTCTTACAGGTGAAAGAAGAGTCATATTGAAAAATATATCTATTTGCCTTACATCAAATAGTTCATAGGCAAAACCTAAATCTAAATAAAACTTTTAGTTCTATTTCTCATCTCCCAGTAATTTGACACCTGTTCCCAAGATCTTGTCAACTTATCTTATATAATAAAAGCCTAATATGCAAATTGTCCCCTCGGGCGGTCGTTCAACCGGGAGACCAGGAGTTCAACCACTAGCTATGACGTGCGCTGACCACCAGGGCGTGGCGTGGAACATAGCAGGCATCAGCGACGTGCTGCGACCTCTCACCAGCTACCTGGGGGCGGGGGTGACGGGGATGGAGGTGCAGTGAGAATGTGGGATGTCTGTAGAGCTCGCTCTCACTCCCCCTGCTTACCTCCCCTGGGACGCCAGGGCTCGGTGTGCTGGGGAAGCCCCTGCACTGAGGTGCCAGGCGCCCGTGGGGAGCCCGCCCCACACCCACGCAGCCTCATTCGGGTGAGCCAGGCCGCAGCCACCGGGACCGCAGGGGCTGGTGGGTCTCTCCGTGGGTTCACGCAGGAGCCAGTCTGCGAGGCTGGCTGGGAGAGAGCACACTGCCTGCCTGGCTCCCATGTGGTACCGCTGGGCGGCCCAGAGGCCCATGCTGCACCCTGGCCCACAGCATCCAGCCGCACTCACTGAATCTCCACATGGGGACTCGGGCGCCATGACTCAGGCAGAGGGGGGCGCACAGGAGCTCGGGAACCCAGGTGCTGCCCAGGGCCCAGAGGTCAGCTGGGACCTGCCCTTCCACCCAGACGCTCACACTTCGATCACTGGCCAGGCCTAGGGATTGCACCGTGCACGAATTTCGTGCACCAGGCCTCTGGTTTTTTAATATTTTTGTGAAAGGGGGAAAATACTTTTATTTTTGAGAACTCTACTTGAATAATCCACTAAATAAAGGATTTTCAGCAAAGTTTCTCTTTTCCTCAAGTAAAAAAAAGCAATATAATTTATTAAGGGTGGCAAGAGGTAGAAATAAATGTGTTTAAAGTGAATATTAAAAAATGATACAACTAGCCTAGGTTCAACTTGATTCAGTGCTCAACTTGGCAGAGTTAAGGCACATCTGAACATATATGGAGAGAATTCTTCATACTTCTGTACAAATATTTCCCAAAATAAAGCCACACTACTGGCAGCCATAAAAAAATAGGAAAGTCAAAGATGATAATGCTCTATTTATTTTGTACACAGGGTAGAGAGGTGGTCTCATAAACTCGAGTAACTGATACTGCAAGGTTAAGGTTATGTAAATATATTGCTAACTCAGGTTTTACCAAATTATAAATGAAAATTTAAAGTTCTCCACACCTCTGCTGTTAATTCCATGAAGATTATCTAGTAATGTATGCCCAATGTGTTAATGTGTCCAAAATTTTAAGAATGTTTAAAAGCATATTTGTAAACATAAATTTTATCGAAACCAAATCCAAAACCATTTTCAGTGATTAGAATTATTTTTCTTATAATGCTAGATGTTTTTAAACATTCTTAGTACAGAGAGTAAAGTCACAGGTACAACATACAGGCAAAATCTCATTATATCAAACATCAAGGCAATCCAAGTTTTTCTCTTCCTGTGAATTCTAGAATGATAATTAGATTACAGGACATATTCCTAGTGAAAGGGACTCTGTAGAGAATACAAAACTGGGAGGGGTGGAAGTAAGAGCATTCTGCACTAAAAAATGATAAGGGGACACACCTTCACTCTGGCCCTCTTCTCCCTCTTTTTAGTCCTTATCTTGATTTGCTTTCAATGGATGGTGTGAATATTTAGGTGGGCTTTTTGTGCCTGCAAGCTGTGAGAATAGCTGAAAGGCAATTGCTGCTTAATAGGGTATAAAGCCAAGAACCGGGTACAGCTAAAGTCTCATCACTCTGCTTAGTACAGGTCTATTCTCTCCAGCCTGTCTAAAAGGCAAACAGTGCATACACAGATACTCTCAGCACAAGCAAAGAAAGCCTAAAAAAAAAAAAAAATTCGTATTGTTCATAATAATGGAATCTGAAAAACACAAGTATTCTCAAAAGGCCAACCTCTAGGGGGAAAAACACACCTTTGTTTTATAAAGTGCATCCTTTTATAAGTATTTGCTATATTGCAACTTTTTTAAAAAAATGCTAGTGTAAACTAGAACCTGTGAAAGACATTCTGTAAATCAGACATAATGAGAGCTATGGAACTGTGCCGTAAAGTAACTGACAGGACATAAAATCATGCACTGTATTAGTTAAGTAGGAAAAAGAAAACAAAAACAGCCTCATAGTGCTATTAAATTAAAAAAAAACAAACTTTGCATTACGAAAAGAAAAAAAGCTGGCAACATGTGTTAAAAGCATAAATGAAACTTAAATGATCAATATTAAAACTAGAAAAACTACCATACAAGAAATAGGCTCTCACACATGTTTTAGGAACATACCCGCCTTCTACAGAACCTATGAGGCGATCCTCCCTTAGCATTGAAGTTTATAAAAAAATAAAAATGAAAAGAGAAAATCATCCAATAACTTAACTACTCATTTTTCCATTTAACATATTCAATAAAATGTTAACCTATAATATTTTAAAGAAATGTACTCAAATACTGAACCACATTATTTATGTTAATCCATAGAAATATGAAATCTGTGCATTTCTTATGCTAAAGAGATTGGCCAGTAATAAATATAATCTCAGCAAATAAAAATATTAATATACTAATAATATACTTTTAATGTTTAAAACTAACTTTTTTTTCAGGAAAAATATCTATTATTTCTTTTTATATATTATAATCTTAATGTAAAATTAGAAATAATTTCACCTTCAATGAATATTTGCAAATAGACTATTTCTAGTAAGAAACTGAAGGATAAAACAAAAATAGTTATACAATTATTCCAAATTAAAAGTTATTATACATAAACAAATCACTATGATACCTTAAATACAGTTTAGACTTTGAAATTACATTACAGATACATGACCAAAAGCAGTATGGAAATAAGTTATAAGAACATGGAAGACTGATAATACAATCACATCAACAGTGTAAAAATAAAGAATGTTGAGTGAATCTTACCCTCTGTTCCAATGCTGACTGCGTCTGTTGTCTTAAAAGAGCTTTAAATGGCCCCCCTTCTTTTCCAGCACTACCACTTCCCATTCCTACAGAACATCAGTACATAAATAACAAAAAAACAACTATAGAAGCAGAAAGATTAATTGCATTCATCTTCATAAATATCATGAGTCAAAATCTGTTTGAATGATCCAAACATTTAAAAGTATTTAAGGCAAGTGAACACATGTTTTACTCAGCAAGTTCATTTTAGAAGCAATATGTCAACGTTCTACTGATCACAACTAGTTTTAGACTTAATTTGTTCTAAAAATTATTTTTAAATTAAATTAAGGTATTGAATTTTTGCATAATATTCAATTTTGTAAATCAATCTTCCAATAAAATATAATCATGATAATACCAATTACTTATGCTAACACTTTTAGAATACTAAATATGAGAAATGTTAAATGTTTGTCTAAAATTAAGTATAAAAAGGAAAGCACTAATTGTCCTTACTTAAAATATTCCAAAATTCTCTAAAGAGCATGAATTTCAGGGTAATTTTGAAATATAGTCATATGTGTTTTCTGATAAATTCCATTCCTAAACATAACATTAATGTCAAAACAGTATTAATATCCATAGTTTTCCACACTCGTTTGCAAAAATCAACATAATTTTTTTTAAACTAAAAATCACAAACATTTAATAGACACAATCACAAATGTATGTCGTTATGCATGAAAGAATTATATTTCACAATTTCTTAGATGTATTTTTAAAGGCTTAATTATAAACTTCTTTCCCTACCTTATTTTATTCTTTTGATAATACCAAAAGATCAACTATGGTAAAAGAATTATAGAAAGCAGGGGACAGGTGAGAAGCCAGTTCTCTAAAACTAGAGTCACTAGTTCATCAATCCCACCATTTAAACTGAAGAAACATATAGTCATAGTCACTATAATGACTTTTATATTTTTAGCTGTTCTTGGATAAGGAAACAAAGGTTAGCATATGTATAGTCCCATTCTGTTCTGTTTTTTAAAAAAAGAAAATTTATTGTCCTTGTAGTAACCTAAACATGATTCTTAGAGACTATACAATACTAAACATAGAAATTAAACTAAGCTCTTTACATGAAGCATATTGAAAACCATAAAAAAATGTAAGTTTGTAGAGGTATATGAAATATAAAAAAATACAGCAGAATAATTTGAAAATTAAACCAATGGACAGGGAAAAAAAAGGATAATGAAATAATATTACCAAAACGAGACTTAAACTGATTCAAACAGAATAATTTACTAATGTAACCATATGGTTTAGCAACATGATGGTACAGGTCCAATGTGAACAGAGTTGGTATGAAGGGAAAGAAAGTAACACAGACACTCTAGTAATAAGAACCTAATAATAACTGGAAATATGTCTATCTGTGTCTTTAGAATATAATAATTTTTAATATATAAAATAATTTTAGCAGAGTATTCACAATTATCTATCAAGTGATCCTCAATCATGTCCTCATAATTCTAATCACTTAAATCTGTCTAACAATAAGAAAATAAGAAGTACATCCTGCATAAATACCCACTACTTCTTTGTAGTATCAAAAATGATTCAAAACAAAGGGATTAAAAAGCTGACATTAAGGTGATCCTACCAGAAGCAGCCAGGAACAGCTCGTCACTGAAAGAAACACTTTTCCTCAGAACTGGGCTGACAAGGCTAGAATGATGAGGGGAAAGGCTAGATTCCGAGAGGAGGAGACAGGACTTTTTAAGATGAAGGGAACCACAAGAGAGAGAGGGGGAGCTGGGATACAGGAAAATCCCTTGACTCTGTGGGTAAGGTGCTGTGGAGGAAAGTAGCAGAGAAAAAGATGTACGTTCAGAAGATGATCAGAAAATGCAGGATAAGGAAAGCAATGATGAACCAAAACGTAACAGTAAAAATGAATTTTAAAATGCATACACAAATTACACTAAGCTTATGAAGTCATTAGCAAGACATATACCCAACATAATATAAATAGAAGGCATAGTCTAAAACTTAACAAAACCTTTACAAACTTTGCATTCTTTAAAATTTTTAAATCACTAAAGTAAGATTTTATGCCATTCTAATAACTTTTAGATGATTTCCTTAAAATACTTAAATTACCTGCCTTCTTTGCATAAGAATGTGGAAGATTAAAATGTACTGCATCTAACAAATTTTTAAAGCCAGAAACTTGCTGCCTCAAATAGAAATACTTATTTAAAGTGGTAAAGGACAGCTCTTCAAATGTTACTAAAAAAAAACAAACATATCCCTATGAGTATTTAAATTGAAAAATCAAACAGTACCACATTAAGCAGTTGCCATTATTCATCTTAAATAAATAAATGTTAAGTTATTTCTGTTCAGATTCAAGATGTTAATACTTTTCTTTCTCCTCTAAAATTTTAAATACTCAAATTTGACCATAGAACTATTTGCATTTACAAAGATTAGGGTACCTAGTGGGGTCAAATACCATTTCTTTACATGGTTAAAAACCTGACTAAAAAAGTAAAAATGAGCTTGAGTTAGGCGCCAAGTCAGTATCCTAACACTAGCATTCTAAAATTCCACTGTGACTAGTTGAGTATTTGGGAAAAGTATGAAAATAAAATCTTATAAAATGTCACAAATTTGAATCAACTGAAATAAATCAAATTTTTTTTTAAATAAGACCTACCTGAAAAACAGATGATAGCTTTAACTACGAATGGAAAAAAAAATCGCAGTCTAAGGTTTATTAACTTCATTCTATTTTTGGCTCCCCAGTTTACATATAATAAATCAATAATAATCAGCTTATCTACTTTATTTCTCAGGAGACTGATTTTGAATATAGGTAAATTAGAAGACAGAAAATTATGAAATACATACTGAATTACAGTTTTAGAAATTTTAGAACAATCATATTTGCCATTTTAAATCTCCATGAGAAATCAGAATGCTCCTCAGGAGTATTTGAAGATATTCAGGGAATCATGATAAAGCCAAAGGACTAAAAATGACTAATATCCTATAAATATGCTACTGAGGTAGTGAATAATTATAGACAGAAAAAAATAATTTACTTAGAGGTAGCTTATAAATATAGAAATATATGAGAATACTTCTATTATAAATAAATTTTAAAAAACTAAAAAGTTGGAGCTAGAAAATAAAATACAAAAATATTTTCATTTGATAATACAACTGACTGCAAACTAGAAAGCTAAGAGAATAGACTAGTTCAGTTAATGTATTACTTGACAATCTTCTTTAGTCTTGGACTTTATGGTGAACTAAAGAAAAAGAAACAGAAAGATCAAGGAAATACTTTCAAAAATTAAAGATAATATTGAAAAGTGGCCTGGAATACACAAATAAATAGCAAGTGGACAGTTTTAAAAATATTTTTAAGAAAACTTATTCTTCAAATACTATCCTAAGTCTTTCTTGTTTTTTTATTTGTTCGTTTTTAAAATATATTTTTACTGATTTGAGAGAGGAAGGGAGAGGAAGAGAGAGATAGAAACATCAATGATGACAGAGAATCATTGATTGGCTGCCTCCTGCACATCCGCTACTGGGAATCCAGCCCACAACCTGGGCATGCACCCTTGACTGGAATTGAACCCAGGACCCGTCAGTCGTAGGCCAACACTCTATCCACTGAGCCAAACTGGCTAGGGCAGTCTTTCTTGTTTTGATTGTCATGAATTCAGGGCCAGAATTTCATTCTTTAGTAAAAAACAAAGAAAACCACTATTTGAAGATACTATATCATAGAAATCCATGCTTGAAACCTATATGTTCATGTTGACCAATGTCATCCCAATCAATTTAATAAATAAATATGTTTTTTAAAAAAGAAAAGCACTATTTGAATGGTTTCATGAATATGGTTAAGATGCTACAAATCATGTTAAGATGCTTATCATGAATATGGTTAAGATTACTATCAAATATCAATTATTTTAAGATGTCAGTCATAATTATGTATATATAAAAATACAGATACTCTTTTCAAAGAATTAGGTGCTCATATAAATTACTACATTTATAAAAGTAGATATTAAATCTACAGGCTTTTTTTTAATATCCTCTTTTACTTTGGAAGTAGTACTGGTTCTGGAATTAGATTTCTTTACATTGCCTTCATAAAATCAGGTCATTTTATAAATTTCTTGGCTAACATGAAAATAAGGTTATTCAAGATAAATTAAAAATAACACAAATAAGAACTATGCAATATGTTTTCATTAATCTGGCAAGAAATTGCCAGACAAAAATAGTATTTACAAAAATTGCAAACTATTAACTTTTAAATGTTTTATTTATTTTTCTTTTTCTCAAGAATAATAATTTAATGATTAAGTTAATTCTATTTTATGTAGTAAGGGAGGAATTTGATTTTTAATCAATTTTTGTCATAAAATATGTTCATAAAATTTCAAATTATCAAAACACACATAGGAGACAGAAAAATTATAAATTTCATACATTAAAATATATGCAAAAATAAGTAAATAAAAACTGCTATTTTCTAATCTAGAAATTAAGACAAGAAAAAAACAAACATTTTAAATAACAAAAAGTTAATAGGTGTATTATTCCAAAATAACCATATTAGTTGTTCTTAAGATTTTTTCATAATAAAATCTTTACAAATATATTCAGAAATAGACAGAAACAATGAATTCAAAATGCTTATACTGCATGAGGAATTCAACTGCAACTAATAGTGTTCCTTTTTATTCAAATGCTTTCAGATGTTTATTCCTCTTAACTTGAGCATGAAATGAAAAATATATACTGCAAAAATAAATCCTGGACTTCATAGCTACACTGTGATAAAATCAATAAAATGTCGATTTCTGAACTATACAAAATCTTCATATTTGCATTGTAGTCGTAAAAATGATCACTGTTCACATTACCTTTAACCTTAAATGCCAAAAAACTGGAGAAAAGGCTTGGATGGAAAGCTAACAAGGAACAGAAACAAATTTGAAAAAGAAAAAATAGAAAAAAAATAAAAGATGGGTGGAAGCGCCTTACCAGTTTTGGGTGTCAAACTCAAATCTGTGTCAGAAGAAGAGGACTGTCGGCTGTAGGACTTGGAAGGTGAAAAGGAATAAGTTTGGTTTTTCAGAGGGGTGGAGGGTCCTGATGAGTGAGTATTGGGGTTGGGATCTTCATTGAAGGGAATCCTGCCAGAAGAAGGTGGAGAAATATTAAATAATCATGTGCCAAAGGATTTGATGGAAGGCAGCATGATCCAAACACCAGGAAATATTGGGGCAGGGCCAGCAGTCATTTCTTAAGTGTGGAGCTGGGTATGAGGCCAAAGTCAATCAACTGCTGTTTAACCATTCATCATTCTTCAAATAAATAATTATCTGCATTGAAACAGTTAATAAGCCAAGTAAAAAAGCAAAAAAGCATGAAATGACAGACTAAGGGGGGTAAAAAATATTAAAAGGAGAAATAAACAAAAAGAATAAATACATGACTGAAAATACTTGCAAATAAACAATGCTCTTTTTTAAGTTACCAAAGAAACGATGACTGCAAATGGTGTGTGTAAATATTCACAACTGTTTTTATATTTGCACACACAGATATCATCAAAAGAAAAATGTTTCCTTATCCTATAGCATCAAGAGTGCCACAGCTAAAAACAGAGCAGAGAGGAAAATGAATATAGCTACAAAAAATCATTGCATTTTATGCAGCATAGTTGCTTACCTCTTTTCCAAAAGCTCTCTTCCACAGAATAAAACAGACCCTACTGTAACAAGGTTTGTACATAAAGAACATAAGCAAATCAGAAGCTTTGGAAGCTATTTTGTTTAGAATCCAATCATTAATTTTTATTCTAACCAAATGTAGTTGTAATGGCAAAAATACATACTGGAGGATTCCCCAAAAAACGCACAGTGTGCATACAGAACCCAGGGTTGTTAGAAGGCCTATGGAAGAGACTTTGGAAACTGGAAGAACACTTTCAATTCCATGTTAGAGCCTCTATGGAGGCTAAATACAGGATTTCTTCACTGCAACTGGACTTTGAGTGAGAAAAGGAAGAAGCCAAGACTTGTGGTACCTGCCTACACTACCTGCCTGCCTGCCCTCTGCAGCCACTCTGCCTGTGGCCTGCCTTCCCCAGCTCTGGAGTCTGAGCAGTCTCGTACCAGTATAGATGAGAGTGGGAACAGACACAGAGAAGTTCTGAGTAAGTCGGGAGCCAGTAGCAGTGTGAATTGGGCTGTTGTGAGTCGAGCGGCATCCATGGCTTGGAGGATGAACCAGCGGAGACCTGGGGGAATTTTTGGTCAAAGTGGAAGAAAAGAAAACAATACATACAACAGATAGCAAAGTTTTGTTAAAATAATTTCAAAGGAGCTTTAGTTAGGGGAGAGGAATTATTTTTTTTAATCCCTAGCATACAAAAAAACAAGTTGAAATTTTTAAAAAATAGCTAAATATTCATTCATTCATTAGGATATAATTATAGTTTTAAAGGATCAGATTAATAAATTAGGACTGTGAATACGAAAGATAGCAGGTAGAATTGTCAGTGGAATTAAATTTCTTAGAAAGACAAAGATTTGGATTTAAGCTGCTCTAAAATGTTTGTTATTATTTTGATCACCACAGAATTTTAGGAAGAAAATACCCATAAAAGTGAAAAGTCTATAAATACAAAGTTCTTATATTATTTTTGAGACTGATATATAAATAATTGCTGATATAATTAATTATATTTTCCATAAAGAAAGTTTAACTAGCAAACCTATTTCTGTCTAGAATCCTGAGATAGGGGTACTTAAGAATAAGAAAAATGACAGCATAAAGAGAAATGACTGAACTGAATGGATATAAGCCGATATAAACATTGCATATTTTAATATATCAAGTATAACTCAAGTTATACTGGGAACCAAACAAAACAAGGAAACAATTCTTTTAAAAACACATTAATAAAGCAATTTAAATGATTTTTGTCTAGCTCTCTCAAACATATTATTTAAACTTAAAATAGATTAAACTACATTCTGAATTGAAATATTTTAAGATATCAACTTGTATCCTGCAACAGACCACATCATGAGCATGTATGAATATATTTAGATCAGATACAGAGGTATATATTCATATACAACCTTTCAAAATAAAGTATATTACAGAACTAAAAGTCCTAACTTCATTAGCAATTATTTCACTATTCAATGCCTTTGCTTATATACAATAAAGTGAAAATAATCCTTATATATAATCTGAAAACTATCATATCTCCATTTTTTATTTAATTTTGTTGTTGTTACCCCTCACCCAAGGATATTTTTCCATTGATTTTTTTTACAAAGAGTGGAAGGGAGGGGAGAGACAGAGAAAAACACTGATGTGAGAGAGACACATCAATTGGTTGCCTCTTGCACACACCAACCAAGGCCAGGGATCAAGCCTACAACCAAAGTACGTGCCCTTGACCTGAATTAAACCTGGGACCCTTCAGTCTATAGGCCAGCGCTCTATCCACTTAGCCAAACCGGCTAAGGCAATCATATCACAATTTTTTTAGAATTCAAATTAAAAGCAGGCCAAGAGCCCAACTTTTCCTGGCGTCTCTTTTTCTTTTCCATTGCCCAACAATCACAATTTGTCAAGGTTCAAACATGAGCTATCATTAATTGACAATAATGGTCTACAGACTACTTTCTGGAAATATCACTGATTTTACAATGGGATAATTGTTTCTGTTTTTGTTGCTAGTTTAAATTTAAAATGTGTTTAATATAACTAATAAAAATCAAACATCTCATTGATGATTTATTTGTATACAAACTGAGTGAGGTTTTATTTTTGTTTTTTCTTTCTCTGTTGAAGTGACTAATGAAGTTAAAAAGTCTAAAAATCAGCCCTGGCTGGTGTGGCTCAGTGGTGACAGAATCAGCCCGTGCACAGAAAGGTCTTGGGTTCGATTCCCAGTCAAAGGCATGTACCTAGGTTGTAGGCTGGATCCAGCCCCCGTCAGGTCCTGTGTGGGAGGGCAGCCAATTGGTGTGTCTCTCTCACATCAATGTTTCTCTCTATCTCTCTCTCACTCTCTTTTTCTTTCTCTCTCTCTGCCCTCTCTCTTTCCCTCCCTTCCACTCTCTAAAAAAAAAAAAGGAAAAAATATTCTCAGGTGATGATTAACAAAACAAAAAAAAGTCTAAGAATCAATGTCATACTGAGGAGGAATTATGGCTAAAATCTCTTAGAAAGTACTTTTTTTTCTGAAGTAGAGAAGTAATAAATCATATTTAAGTGCACTTTGTACCATCAAGATAATTCAGCTAGGAAACAAAAAAGATTTATATTGTACATTACATTAAACATCTAAAAGGAAAAAAACTGATGGAGTAGAACACACATTAATAAAGGTAAAATAAAATAAAATGAGCATTGTAAAATGTTCAAATTATGATATCACATTAAAACTCAAATACACTGGAGCATCATCATAATGTATTCTTGGAGTTCTAATTCGTAACAATCTCTTTTCATGAAAGGTTGCCTTTCAATAACACCCAAGTGGCACTTCTAATATCAAATCCATTCAGGCAGGAACATAATCCAAACTACCTTTTATTAAATTTCCATCTAGAATCAACAATGTTATAATTAAATACCAGAATAATTATAATCAACTGAATCATAAAACAACTTTAAGCTAGCACTCAAATTGATTCATTATCAAAAATACAAAAGAAGCTAGTTGAAATAAAGCAGCCTGAGTATTGCCTGAGTATAGAGGGTTTTTGGGGGGGGGGCGGGGGGTTAAAATAATATGACTTAGGTAGTAAGATGTCTTGCAGAAAAATCTTAATGAAGCAACTTAAATTCTTCACAGTGAATATTTGACAATTAAATGCAAATGGCTACAACAAATTTAGAAAAGGAAAAAACTTACATAATCCCAGAAGATTTACATTATTGAAACACTTCCTGAATGCAGATAAAATGTATTCCCCTAGTGCCCATACATCATTTTAAGACACCAACAGGTACTATAGTTTTCTCTTTCCATTAAGTTAGTGAAAAGAGGAAAACTTCAGAAATCACAAATGCAAAAGCCAGACCCCTTAAGGCAGTGTAGATAAAGAGGAAGAGTAGCAGGAGGAGGAGGGACCCCAGGTCCTTACTTAAATTTGCTATGGAAAAAGAAAAAAAAAATCTGAATTCCAAATTCCCCCCAAAATCTACCCCTGCAATCTGACTTCCCCTGTAGCAACAGGCAGTTGATATATTTTTAAGACACATTTTTAAGTAGAATATAAAGCAAATTCACTCTTCCATTTTATTTAAAAGTTATTTCATTTGCAACATATCTATATATATAAAAACCTAAGCGACCGGCCAACTGGCTGGTAGCTATGACACACAATGACCACCAGGGGGCAGACACTCAACGCAGGAACTGCCAAGCTGCGGTGACTTGGCAGCTGTGGTTCTTGGGTGATGCACCCAAAACCAGAGAGGAGGGAGCCCGATTCCAGGGTGTGTCATCCAAGAACCGCCCTCTCGCAATCCGGGACCCCTCAGGGGATGTCGGGGAGCCGGTTTCAGCCTGATCCCCACAGGCCAGGCCGAGGGACCCCACCGGTGCATGAATCCATGCACCGGGCCTCTAGTTTCCAAATAAAATAAGGCAATATATGTGCTCCCTCTCTTGTGATAAAATTTAATCCAAATAACTAAAGGCCAACAGAAAGGAAATAAATAAAAAGAATAAACTTAAGATAAAGGGGAAAATCTTTTTTTAAAAGGTTGTGTTTTAGGCCCTGGCCGGTCTAGCTCAGTGGCTAGAGCGTTGGCCTGTGGACTGAAGGGTCCCAGGTTCAATTCCTGCTAAGGGAACCTGGGTTGCGGCTCGATGCCCAGTGTGGGGCTTGCAGGAGGCAGCCGATCAATGATTCTCTCTCATCATCGATGTGTCTAACTCTCTCTCCCTCTCCCTTCCTCTCTGAAATCAATAAAAATATATTTTTAAAAATTCAAAAGAGAAAAAAAAGATTGTGTTATAGCCGGGCACACGCCTATGCATTGTGGGCTTGATCCCCAGTAGGGGGCATGCAGGATGCAGCCAATCAATGATTCTCTCTAATCATTGATAATTCTGTCTCTCTCACTCTCCCTTCCTCTGAAATCAATAAAAAATTTAAAAATTTTTTTTAAAAAGATTGTTTTTAAAAAGATTGTGATTGTTTTCTAATCAACCTCTCTTGACTACTGCTTAACTAGAAAACATTTCAGGTTTCTGACTACAGAATTCTAACTCTGATGATACAGGAAAGGGGTCAGCAAACCCAACACAGGCCAAATCCATCCTGCCATCTGTTTTGTGAGGAAGTAAGTTTTATTGGAACACAACCATACTCATTAATTTTCATACTGTTGATGGCTGCTTTCACAGAACAGTAGCTGAGCTGAGACGGTACTGAGGGCAAAGATTAAATTATTTACCTGTACCTTCTGGTTATTTACAGAAAAAGTTTGTTGATCCTTGATCTAGAAGATTCTTTAGATCAAATTGTCATTGGAAGTATTATTGGCATTTAGGATGGAAAAGTTTTCATAATAAAGAGTTGTCCCTTGCTGTACAGAATAGTCAGCATTTCTAATCTCCAACAGAATCGTCTCTCTCACCCCAATCATTCTGACAGAAAGTCTATTTCAAACATTCCCTTTTCACAGCACCAGCACCACCATGCTGAACAATGACACAGGCTGAATCCAGCCAGCAAAGTTGTTTTCTTGGATCACACATAGTTTTTTTTAAATGTGTGAGCCTAAATGCCTTTAGACAGGATCAACAAACTCCTTTTTTTAGTAAATAAAGATAGAAACTATAGAGCTAGTGCCTGAAATACTCAGTACCTGGCCTTTTATTTATATATCTATACTAATAAAAGGGTAATATGCAAATTAGGCCAGATAGACTGGACGTCTTCCGGACAAAGCTGCGGTGGCTGTGAGGGCTGAGGAGGGCCGAGGGAGGGCCAGTGGCAGGCAGTGGCAGCAGCAGCAGAGTGATGGGGACGGCACCTTTGCCTGGTTGCCTCCTCAGAGGGAGGCCAGACTGCAGCTTAGGCCTGCTCCCCGTGGGACATCCCCCGAGGCTGGGACATCCCCTGAGGGCTCCCGGACTGTGAGAGGGGGCAGGCCAGGCTGAGGGACCCCCCACCCAGTGCATAAATTTTATATATTTAAAAAACATATATTTGTTTAAATATATAAATATATATATATATATATATTTTTTTTTTTATTGATTTCAGAGAGGAAAGGAGAGGGAGAGAGAGAAACAATGATGAGAGAGAATCATTGATTGGCTGCCTCTTGTATGCCCCACACTGAGGATCAGGACTGCGACCCAGGCATGTGCCCTGACAGGAATTGAACCGTGACCTCCTGGTTCATAGGCTGATGCTCAACCACTGAGCTTACCAGCCGGGCAGTAACTGGCCTTTTTAGAAAAAGTTTTCCAATGTCTGCTTTAAACAGTCCCCAGTATCACCTATTTAATTATAGCCAATTATTTATATAAACTGCTTGGCCTCTGTAGACATTCAAGTTTGAGACCCCTGCACAAGTCAATCTTTCCTGCTTTCTATAATATGTTGCTAATAATCAGCATAACTGAATTACCAAGTATAGGGTTTTAAGCATTCCCCAGAGAATAAGTAAAATTCCACACAATTCATAAATATTCATTTTATGCTTTAGATATACAGTGCCTAAAGATCTGGATAAGTTTAATTGTATCTTACTTTATTCAAATTTCATATTAAGACTATATATAAAATATTAGGAATATCTAAAGAGTTTTAAGCTTCAAATGTTGACAGTCATCATTAGGAAAAAATGTATATCGAACAACACTACTAAAATTTTCGAGCCAAATGAAAATGTATAGTAAAAGATAAAAAGTTCCTTAAGAATAATTCAGTGATTCATACTTACTCCTTCATGTCTTTGGATGGGGAATTACATGCAGGAAGGAATGCTGCTGGGCTACTTAATTTATCCAGTGTACACGCTGTCCCTATGGCTCGTACCACTAAACCAGATTCGCCTTCCAGATCAAAACACTGTAAGTACCCAACAACCGCATTTCCTCTCATTTCAAGTACTTTCAAGCCAATCTTCCTCTGCAATTCTCCTACAAAAAAGAAAGGAAACTCATTCTGCTTTATATCTCCACATTATATAAAATAAAACTGGATATAGTAGTAATAAAAGAGTCTAAAAAATCCTGGATTCTTAGAACTTGAAGGGAACCAACTTTCATGGAGGCAATATATTAGCTACATTTTACAGATGTGGCAGGTAGCATTTATTTACCAAATAATTTTTAGTTGTTTGCTATGTGCCTGGCCTTCCTCCTTCTTCTAGGTGCTAGATATATAGAGATAACTAGAAAGGTAAAGACCCAAATCTAGTGGAGTTTACATAATGTGAGAGAAACAGACAAAAAACAACAAATATAAATGTTATATATAACATATAGAATACATAGCATATAATATAGTCTAATGTAATTATATATATAATATAATTTAGCATTATATATTACATATCATATACTACAAATATGTAGAATATAATACAAAATAACAATTAAATGTATTATTTAATATGTTAAATCTAATGCATGTTAACTATGAATTAACATATTCATAAATATTTATAAATATTAGTTAAATATAATTAATCTAATACTACTATAAGTACCTATTTATAAGTATAATTTAAAAGTAACATAAATATAAATATACTTATAAATAAGTAATGTAAGTATAAATATAATTAATTTAATAGTAATATAAGTGTAAATATCTATTTCAAATACATAAATTTATTAAAAATAAATATTTATACTTATTTATTATCTAGAATATATATGTATGAATATGTGTGTATAAAGACACTCACACATATATACATATAAACATAAATTTTAGGTAATAAGTTCTTCAAAGAAAAATAAAAGTAAATTGGGTAAAAGTGGCAGGTAGGGGTAGAAAGAGCTATAAGTTGTCAGAGAAGAACCATGAAAAGGCAGCATTTGAACAGAAAGCATTAGAGAGATTACCTAAATCTGAGTACAAATAAATGCTGGAGGGAAAAAACTAGAATCCAGTTTCCTACCTCCTTGCCAGGGCACTTTCTACTATACCACTTCATGAACATAATTTCTTTTTACTGCCTAATTAAGAAAGAATTATAAGCTTCTGATTAGATTTATCCTTGTTATACGATGGAAATTCATGTGTTCAGGGGGTAGAGAATCAGTCATATATAATTCATAGTCTTCTTTATAAAATTTGAGGTAACATGTCAAAAGGAAGTGAAAAATTTTGCAGTAATAAGGGTGAATTTTTAAAATACCTGACATTAAAGAAATGAGTCTCTGTCTGGCCTCATTTGATGCCCTTGGTGTGCGAATTCGATCAATCCACTGATATTCTGGGTCTTCATTGACCACAAGTTCTTCTACAAATCCATGAATTATTACAGCTCTATAGCACTTTGGAATAGATGTTGCTGTTAAAAGAAATGATCTATTATGCTTCTATTTATCACACGGTTAAATCAATTTTTTAAAAATGTACAACTAAGTTCTTACCTTTTGGATAAATAGTACAAGAACATCTTCTACAGTGATAATCTAAATGTAATTACATAATACTTGCAATCAGTCTTCTAAGTTCCATTTTACTCGTACAAATAATCATTTTCTTTCATGAGACCTCTCATCTTTCCCATGTAAGCATAATGAATATACATTGTACTTGTATAACTTAGAAAACAGCTAAGACTTCTTAAATAGCATTCAATGCAAAGTGCAAAAAATCAAAATTAAAGTCGGCTACCTGATTATCTAAATAGGTGAAAAACAGATAAAGTACACAAAAAACTTTACTTACTCAAAGCTCTATGAAAAAGTTCTGTACACCAGACTCAAAAATCAAACCTTTCTGACATAATCTGAGGAAAAATAAAGCTCTGAAGTTTCTAATAATGCATGGCCATATGGCCAGTGGTTCAGTAGTCACTCTACTTAACAGACTCATTTAATATGTAAAACACCAAATGTCATTGGATTTAACTAAGATCTGGTCACATTCAAAAAGAGAAGAACCTGAGAACATCTACACCAAACTAGTTTCTTAAAATAGACATTTGTACCTTGAAGCTAACTCAACTACTTAGGACTTTTCAAGTCTATTAATCCAAACTAGCTATAAATTGCCCAGATCTGCCCAATTCTGACACATACTGCATGGTATTCATGAGGCTCCATACCTGTGCACGCCTATGTAATTTTAGATAGCACCATAGCTTAGCAATACTGCTCTACTCCTATCTTTCAGTGCTCTGTACTAAAGTAAAATCCCACTGGATTTTTTTTTCTTTTTGACAGTTATACAAAGTTTAATATAGTCATATCTTTTACACATTTGGCAAAAGTAACTTGTTCTAACTTATGAAAAAAATTTACTGAGCAATAAAATATTAACCTCTGTGCAAAGTAATAAAATAAATATGTGACAGTTATTTTTAAACCTTGTTTTTCATAAATGTTGACCTACTGGTACAAGAGTAAAACCTGCATTAGATGAGTGGCCACAAGCTTCTCCATAAGATGGTGTCTAATAATTATGGTTAAGGTCACTAAAGACTTTTGCAAGATACATACATATATCTACCACAAAAGGTTCCACATCTGTATTGTTTAGTTTTAGACAGCCCATTTGAATGAAGTCTGAACATGCCACACATGTAGCCTCATCAAATTTGTTTCCCCAAATGCAGATATTAGAGAGTGTGGGATTTGTTTTCATTGATTGAGAAAGTGCAACAAGTCCTTCTCCCTCTATGTTGTTGCTGACTAATGACAACCAGCAGACATCAAGGTAGCATAGGCTACTCTTCAGATACAGTGCATCATGTTTTATACTCCTTTTTTTTTATATTCTTACACATATGTAGTTTGATAGGCAGTGATTTTCTTTTAACATGGGTTTAGTTGAGCTGTAGAGCCTTCCTGTTCCATACAGGTCGGTTTAGTTTCATTCCCTTTGGTATTTGGTTTTGAGTTAGGGCTATAGCAAATATTATCACACTTTACCTTCTCAAATGAAAGGCACCACATCTAACTTCTCTAAGGATAAATTAATTTGTAGCACTGCAGCAAAAACACATTCCACCTTTGTTTTCAATCTTATTTCCAGTCATTCTTAGTTATCTCAGAATTTTATTCTTATACTAGAGGCCCGGTGCACGAATTTGTGCATGGGTGGGGTCTCTTGGCCTGGCCAGCAATCGGGGATGGCAGGGGTATGGGAGGTTGGCCAGCTGGGGGGAGGGGCATTTGGTTGTTCGGTCGCTTAGGTTTTTATATCTATAGATAGTGCTTTAACAATCACTTCTTCACCTTTGGTCCCAATACCATGAAACATAAGGTTTAAAAGTAAATGAATCATATGACCCAACAATCCCTCTCCTGAATATATACCCCCAAAACTCAAAAACATATATTCCCAAAGATATATGCACCCTCTATGTTCACTGCAGCATTATTCACAGTGGCCAAGGCATGGAAACAACCAAAGTGTCCTGCAATAGAGGACTGGATAAAGAAGATGTGGTACATGTACACAATGGAATACTACTCAGTCATAAGAAAGGATTAAATACTGCCACGTGCAATAACATGGATGGACCTTGAGAATATTATGCTCACTGAAATAAGTCAGTTAGAAAAAGCTATGAACCATCTGATTCCACTCATATGTAAAATAGAAAACTGAAGCTTTTGAACACAAACAGCAGTGTGGTGGTTGCCAGAGGGAAGGAGTTGGGGGGAGAAGGGGGTCCTAATATACAGTGACGGGAGATTTGACTTTGGGTGGTTGGCACACAGTGCAATATACAGATCTTGTAAGATAGAAACCCACACCTGAAACCTATATGATCATGTTGACCAATGTTGTTCCAATAAATTTTTTTTTTTTAAGAAATATTAAAAAGTAAATGAGGTTGCCCAGGCCGGTGTGGCTCAGTTGCTTGGGCATCATCTCGTGCACAGAAAGGTTGACAGTTTGATTCCCATTCAGGTCATGCATATACCTGGATTGTGGACCTGATCCCTGGTAGGGGCCTACAGGAGACAGCCAATCAATGTTTCACTCTTACACCAATGCTTCTCTCTCTCCCACTCCCTTCCTCTCTCTCTCCAAGTCAATAAAAAAATATTTTTTTTTAGTAAATGAGGTTAAATTGTTTCATTAATATATGGATTCTTTAAAATTCTGGGAAAAATCCAAAACCTTCACCTGGTACTCTTTCTACTGACATGAGGTGGCTATTATCAGCAATGGTTAATGTTATTCCTGCTAATCATGCTCACAAGCTGGGGGTAGAGACTGGAGTAGGAGCTGGAGAAGGGAATAGAGGTGTGGCAGGCTGGGTACAGCCTCCCTGTGGGCCACAGGCATTGTCATGACAACCACGGGTACACATGTGCCCCACTGAATGTTTCTAATAAAAATTCTGATGAACTTGTAAAAAATTAGATATAATTTATTTTAAAATCAGAAAAGTAGTCTCTAGAGCTACAGCAGTTTCTGAAAAATTAACAACTTTCTCTTTGCTATGAAAACCAAAGAATAAAAGATTTTCCATTAGCCTTCTAAAATATTAATTTGATTTCCCATATTTGTGAATTATTAAATTTCCTGTTAAATGAATAATAAAATGTATTTACTTACTGCAAAAGAATTTGACTCCACATGATGACTGCCTAAATCGATTTAAATCATTGAAGAGGTCTACTTTGACAACTACATTGATTTCCCCACGAATACCTATAATTTCAAAAGAAAAATCAAGTTTCTACCTTAAATAATAAAGTATAATTAATCAAGCAATGCCAATTAATGATTTTAAAATAATGTATCAATCATAATAGCAATGCTAACTTTGTTTCCCTAATTATTTTTATTCTAAGTAGTTTCTTTATTATATTTTCTAAAGAACATGTATACATTAAAAAATGAATAATATTTATTGTACCAGAAGTCTTCACTTATTTGAACCAATCTAACTGGAAAGGAGTACCATTTAATTTGATGATGATAATGTGCATTGGTAATGTTCTAAATGCTTTACAAGTAGTATCTCACAGTGCTCATGCCAATCCAGTAAGGTAATTTCTTTAGTATTAGTATTCCCATTTTACAGAGGAAAAAAGCTACAGTTTAATAAAAGTTCAACAATTTTTATAGAGTCAATAGTAAGTGATGAAGCAAGGATTAAAAGTCAGATCTTTATTATCCCAGAGTAAATGCTCTTAACAACTAATGCAAGAATCTGATTTAGCACAAAAGAACTTTCATTCTTTTCAATGAATACACAGCAATAAGTTAAAATAAGCTAACTAAGAAATTCTAAGATAACAGGTTTTTAGAAGATGCCCTAACAAATAAAAATGACACACCTCAATCCCTAAACATTTTTTTTTTTTTGGCTGTCCTGACTTCCTGTCAAATTCATACTTATGGAGGAACCCTTCTAAGAAGAGTGACTTACTCATTTACCTACTGAAATAACAGATTATATTCCTAACAAAGGGCCCATGTAACCTATTAAACCAACAATAAGCAATTTTTAATATAATATGTTTAGAAAATTCATTCATTCCGATAGCTACTGCTTTTAATCCAAGTCCAGATTCATTCTCCAGTGGCTTTTTTATTGGTAATCTATACTAATAAAAGGGTAAAATGCTAATTAGACCGGGTCAACTGGACATCTTCCAGATGTCCAACTTCCTTCCGGACAGTTAGAGGGCAACCAGGCCAGTAGAGGGGTAGTTAGGGGGGGACCAGGTTGGCAGGGGGGCAGTTAGGGGGTGACCAGGCCAGCAGAGGGATAGTTAGGGGGGGACTAGGCCAGCAGGGGAAGGCAGTTATGGGGTGGCCAGGCTGGCAGGGGACCAGTTAGGGGGCAATCAGGCCATCAGGCAGAGGCGATTAGGGGCAATCAGGCCAGCAGGGGAGGACAGTTAGGGGTGATCAGGCCAGCAGGGGAGGGCAGTTAGGGGCAATCAAGCAGTAAGGTAGAGTGGTTAGGGGCAATCAGACAGGCAGTCAGGTGAGCAGTTAGGAGCCAGCGGTCCCGGATTGTGAGAGGGATGTCCGACTGCCGGTTTAGGCCCGATCCCGCAGTGGGATCGCGCCTAAACCGGCAGTCAGACATTCCTCGAGGGCTCCCAAATTGGAGAGGGTACCGGCCAGGCTGAGGGACTCCCCCCCCCCCCCATGAATTTCATGCACTGGGCCTCTAGTATAACATAAAATGGGATTTTATTTTATTATTACAAAGACAATACATACAGGGTGGGGGAAAAGTAGGTTTACAGTTGTAAGTATGTGAAACACGGAGTTCATTCTTGTATATTATTTCTTAATTATTGTATTATTTGCCATACAAACAACTGTAAATCTACTTTTGCCCAACCCTGTGTACATTATAAAAAGTATAGAAAAAAGCAAAACAGGACAAAGAGTAAAATAGGACTATAGTCCACAAATAAAATTATCCAAAGGTAAACATTTTATCACATATTCTGCCAATTTCATCAAGAGCATTACATATATACAATTCTCTTGTTTCTAAACTATCTTGAGATTATCCTATAATGTTTTATAATCTGGATTTTGCAATTCATAATACATCATGCACATTTCCTTCTGCCATTGTATTATGAAAACATGCTTCTAGTTCTGGCTGTGTCAACTTATGTTCTAAATTATTTAAGTAAATCCTATTTTCCAACTTATTTTGACCAATTTAAACATTAGTAAATGATAATAGAATATAAGTAACATCACAATAAATATACATAAGTCTCAGCAAACATCTTGGTTTCTTACAATAAATGACTATTAATGGAATTGTCAGGTCAATAATGTAAACTAGTAAGAAAGATGCAAGACTAGATAGAATCATCTGCCTATGCCTTTTGGGTCCATTTACCATTCTAAAAAGATGGCATCTTTTAGGCTAGCTGTTCTCAAACTTTTCAATCGCAGGACCCGTTCAAACTTAAAAATTACTGAAGTCCTCAAGGAGTTTTTATATATGTTACTTATATCTATCAATATTTACCATATTATAAGTTAAAATTGAGAATTTAAAAAAGTATTTGCTTATTACTCCATTGAAAGTAATAATGAATCTGTTAATATAAGCAATATTTTTTATAAAAATAACTATATTTGGAAAAAAAGTAATGAGTGGCACTGTGTTACATTTTTGCAAATCTCTATAACATTTAGCTTAATGGAATACAGTTTGATAGTTTGTTTTAGGAACATAGAATACAAATATGAGATGATTTTTAAATAATGCATATACTTGCTATACTGTACAAATTTAACTCAGAAAATTGTTTCAAATTATGTTCAGAAAATAAACAATTCTACCAATAATACATTACTACTAAGTCTAAAAAGGAGATATCTTTTAAAGGTATAAATTTTAAAACCACAAAGTGTACATAATAGTCTTTAAGGATAAATTTAAAAGATTGTGATTTATTTTCTTAAAATATATTCCTTACCATGTATGGTATCATAAATTGGAAACCATCCTGAGATGACTGTTGCAGCTTCACTGTAGAGTAAAGGATCAATATCAATGTACACTTTACCAATGGCATCATTTGCACTATAAGTATCATGGTCAAGAACTGTGATCTGTAGAGGTTCATCTTGTAAATCTTCATCATCCACCTGAAAGCATACTTTAAATTAAATCTTAAAATTTAAAGATCTTCGTTATCATAAATGTAAATGTAAATTTGTATAGCGAATATAAAAGATTACTTATTTCTGGGGAGGAAAATCCAATTAATATATAAACAAAAAATTGTAACTCAATTTTCTATACAAGATGCAGATGTACAGTTTGCCTCAAGCACAGAGTTAGGATAATTAACCAAAAAAAAAGTTTTAATTTCTTTTCTGCATATTATCCTGTGTTTCACTACTCTACCAATGGTTTCCAGCAAAAATGCTTTAGGAATATCATAACAGAGTCCATGTATTAACTACAGAGTAAGGATGCTAATGAGCACAATGACAGCATAATTTCTAAGGACAACTTCAGAGAATAAAACTATAAGCAAAACTAACATTATTTGTAAGAAAAAACAACTTAAGTTCTTGAATTAAGTTCATAAAATAAATGTCTACCCTCTCTCTCTGCTTCTGTTTACTCATTATCAAGTACTTACCATGTGCCAAGCACTGTGCCAAAGAGAGGAACTATAATTGTTCTTAAGTGATTTCTGATATATGCTAAAATTCAGAGAAATTACTATATAATAATATAATACCTTTTTAATCTGGGTTCTCCTACATGTATTTATATTTTCTTGACTGTAACATAATTTTTTAAGTGCAATATTCCTAAGAAATATTTTTATGTTACAGGAAAACTACTGTACCTGAAATAAAAGGTGTTCTTATCATTCCTAGGGAAAGCGTCACCTCAAAAAACACACACTAAAAATGCTAACATTTAAAAACTTACCTCAAATTTAAACCATTCTGAGTTCCATTGAGGGTTGAGGGACTTGAGATACACATCTGTTTTAAAGGTGGTATTACCAAATTTTACCTAAAAACAAATAAAAAATAATCAAATACAGATATCAAATATGTGAATATAAATAAAATTTAATGTGAGCCAAGCAATGAGAGGATTAACATTGGAGAGGAAAAAAGACAACTATCCCCTGAGCCAAAAAGAAGAAAGTGTGGATAGTTCCTGGTAAGTTTATAGACTATACCTGGTACAAGGGATTATCCACTGTTCTGCTTGACTAGCTTTATAAGAAAATTAAAACATAGACCATTATGTCATTATGGAAAAAGGAATCAGTATGCCCTTCACTAAACAAGAGCTCAGACAAAAGAGTTTTAAGGGTGGGAGATAAGCAAAAATAAAATCAGAAGGTGAAAGGATAGCTTTCTCTGTCATATCAGCAAGGGAATCCAGAACTACAGCTCATTATTATAAGAACTCAGTAATAGATCCCTGTTGTATCTTCTGACTTCCCCATACATATTTTTAAATATCTTATCTGTGCACACACAGGGATCAGCAATAAAGTATGGTCAGTAAGGGTTTTATATTCTCACTAGAGGCCCAGTGCATGAAATTCATGCACGGGTAGGGTCCCTAGCGGCTGCCGGCTGCCAGCCGGGGCCTCCCTTCCCCCCGCTGCCTGCCACCACTGCCGGCCAGCCCACCCCCTGGTCAAACTCCCGGTCAAGGGGACAATTTGCATATTAGGCTTTTATTATATGTTCTCATCTTTAAGGACAATGAAAGGGGTTGGATGGAAAGACTTGCAAACACTGAGTCACAAAAATCCAAAAATCTATACATATATATAAAAGCCTAAGTCACCAAACGACCAAACAACTGGTTGACCAATTGCTATGATACGCACTGGCCACCAGGGGGCAGACGCTCAACACAGGAGCTGCCCCCTGGTGGTCAGTGCACTCCCACAGCCAACCTCCCATGGTCCCTTCCCCAGGCTGGCTGGCCCCGCTGACCCCTATCGGGGCAGCCATCCTCCCATGGCCCCTCCCCCCGCCTGCCAACCTCCCACGGCCCCAATGGCCCTGATCGCCAGCCAGGCTGAGGGAGCCCACCTGTACACGAATTTGTGCACTGGGCCTCTAGTAAGTAAATAAAAAGAAACAAAAGTGGCGGGAAGCAAGCTAAATCTTTGGAACTTGTTTCCAGCAAAGAATGGAAATTGTGAAACCTCAGATGACTTAAGAAGTGGTCAGGAAGCTTAGGAGCAAAATAGCTAGGCAACTACTTCACCTTTCCAGAATTTAATCTCTTCAACTCTTCCCTAATTCTATCATAATCTCAGAATTCACTAAAGGTTATATCCTCTTTATCACAATACCCAGCACAGAGTTTTTTGCATACTGCAAGTATGTAGGAAATGCTGGTTCAATTAGATAATCTATAAAATCTCCTTTCCTTTTTTACTACAATTCTACTTTTGGTATTGTAATACTTATAGGTATTAATTTTAATCAATCCAGGAAATTTTCTAAAAGCAAAATATCCAAAACTATTTTTATCTATCTTCTGTATATTTTTCTAGTTATTATATCACTCAATTGGAATGATTGGGAATGATAGCAACCATGTGGTACCTAGGCAGTTTGGTTAGAGGATAAAAAAGTTTTAAAAATTACATAAAAATAATACCGTCTTGCATGATAATTTGACAAAATCAAAGATAAATAAGAAATGGAGAAAAAATATTTACCAAATACATCACAAAAAATAATTTACTCAATTTTTAATGAGTTCCTATAAACCAATGAGAAAAATATCTATAAACCAACAGAAAAATGGACAAGGGACATGAACAAACAATTAAAAGAAATGAAAAATAAATGTCTTAAATATGGCAAGAGATGATCAATGAGTGTAAATTAGAACCATCTCAATGGACTACAGTTTGACAATACATATCAAAACTTTAAATGCCTATATCCTTTACGTTCAGATGTACAAAGGATATACAATGCATATAAGCAGCATTATAATAGCAAAAGATTGGAAACAACATAGATATCAGTTTGGAACTGGTTAAATTATATATGGTAAAGCCACACAAGGCAGTCCTAAACAGAAGAAATGAAGCAGTTTCCAAGCACTAGTACGGAACAATGTCCAAGATATATCTTACTATTGCAGAACAGTATGTATGGCATAATTTGCATAGAGAAATATGACAAAATGTTATGGCAAATAACATATGCCTTCATATGTACAGATTATTTCTAAAAGGATATATAAGAAATGTTAATAGTGGCCACTACAAAGAACAGAACAGACTGCTTTGTTAAAGGAAAGGCAATGAGAGGCTGACTCACTTTGTTACCTTTTGGATTACAAACCATGAACATATATCACCTATTTTTTAAATGGATCATTTTAAATTTAAAAAATTTAAAATGAGCCTAACCGGTTTGGCTCAGTGGATAGAGGGTCAGCCTGCGGACTCAAGGGTCCCAGGTTCGATTCTGGTCAAGGGCATGTGCCTTGGTTGCGGGCACAATCCAGTGGGGAGTGTGCAGGAGGCAGCTGATATTGAACCCGGGACCCTTGAGTCCGCAGGCCGACGCTCTATCCACTGAGCCAAACCGGTTCGGCTAAATGAATCATTTTAAAAATAAAAAATAAAAAATTTAAAATGATACAAAAAAACTACATAGTCATTCAACAGGGAAGTGACTGAATAAATAACTAAAGAATCCTACTGAAAAACGGTAGTTGATCATACATATTGTCCTGGAAAAATATCAATGACATAACTGAAAAAAACAAGTAGTAGAATATGTAACAGCAATTATCTCTGAAGAAGGGACTGACAGGGTGTAGGCAATACAGTACGGTGTAATAAGAAAGTAGTAAGGAGCTTTCAAGTTTTATTTCTGAGTATTCAAGTTTTTTGTAATGGGAGCTGTTCGAGTATTTCCTGTGTAATTTTTTTTAATTTTAAATTACAAATGTTAAAGAAATGAAACTTAATGGGGGAACAAACAACCCAATTAAGAAATGGGCAAAGGACCAGAATAGACACTTCTCCGAAAAGGACATACAGATGACCAACAGACATATGAAAAAATGCTCAACGTCACTAATCATCAGAGAGGGGCAAATTAAAACTACAATGAGATAATCACCTCATGCTTGTCAGAATGGCTATCATCAATAAGTCAACAAACAAGTGCTGGCAAGGATGTGGGGAAAAGGGAACCCTCAGGCACTTTTGGTAGGAATGCAGACTGAGGCAGCCACTGGAAAACAGTATGGAGTTCCCTCAAAAAATTAAAAATGGAACTGCCTTTTGACCTAGCGATCCCACTTCTGGGAATATATCCAAAGACTCCCAAAACACCAATTTAAAAGAATATATGCACTTTATGTTCACAACAGCATTATTTACAATAGCCAAGATCTGGAAACAGCCCATCAATTGATAAGTGGATTTAAAAAAAGCTGTAATACATTTACACAATGGAATACTACTTGGCCGTAAAAAAGAAAGAAATCATACCTTTTGCAACAGCATGGATGGACCTGGAAAGCATTATGCTAAGTGAAATGAGCAAGTCAGAGAAAGACAAATACCATATGATCTCACTTATATGTGGAATCTAATGAACAAAATAAACTGAACAAAATAGAAACAGAGGCAGGGAGGCATGGAACAGACTGACAGCTGTCAGAGGGGAGGCAGGGTTGGAAGGCTGGATGCAAGCAGGTGAAGAGATTAAGCAAAAAAACACATATATAACACACACAGACAACAGTGTGGGGATAGACAGAAGGAAAGGGAGGGTGGGATAGGTAGGTGGAGGTAGGCAAAGGGGGATAAATGGGGACAGAAAGACTTTGCTTTGGGCAATGGTTGCACGATGCAGTTTTGTTGAGTTGTCACTTGAAACTTATATGGTTTTTGTGAACCAATATTATCCCAAAAAGTTCAATTAAAAAAAAAAAGAAACTTAATGCAGGAAAAGAAGAATAGAGGTTACTGCTCATTTATTAATTTAATTTTCAATACATTTCAATATTCAAAATATCTAAGAAATACTTAATATCTAATTTACCTAAAAACTGCTTTATTTGAAGTAAAATGTAGTTAGGATTTATAAAACCATTCAAAAGCCAAATGTACTTAAGGTTTGTGGTTCCATTGCCAAAAATAGCATATTATTTTTTAGGTTCTAATTTAAAACCCCCTTCAGTTTTATCCCACTATATTGTAGTACTATATTGCACTTTTTTTGGCCAACTGTCCATTTTGGATATAGTAAAGATAAGATAGTCCCCACACTGCATTAAATAAACAAAAACCAAGATTTTAGGAAGAAAAAAAAAGGATAGAGTGTGTATTTTGCCAATATTGTAATGATTCCCCTTGTACTAAAGAAGAATCACAGTCCATTCGGTCTTATTTAATTCAAAGGAGATTTTATTACTCAGCAGTTAAGTGAATGCCTTACAACTTAGTTAAAGAACATCAGGGATTTTAATGAGATTACCTAGTAAAGTACAAGTGTTCTCTTTCCCCACTCATTAGCTAAATTACCTTGAGAAGGTTATTTAAGGCTGCTTCCTCCTCTGAAAAGGGGGTTGTTGTGACCATTACATGAGGTAATGCATGGAGAGATCTAGCAAAATGTCTAATACAAAGAAAATACTCATTTAACAATAATTTCTTTTCCTCTCCCTATTCCCTAAAGGCTCCTGGATAAACACAAAATGATCGTGTAGTTCAGCAGAACAGTTTGTAACACTGAAATATATTTCCATTAATACTTTCCTTACACAGAAAACCATCCCATTCATCCATGGAATTCCTGCAAGAATAATCATCTTTAACGACTACTTGGTATTGACTTCACATCATATATTGTAGAAATTCCCTCAACAGATGGATAAAATCAAATAACCAGGTTAAATCAGATAATTATTAAAAATGATACAAACAGTGAACATTAAGATAAAACATAAATATTAATTCTATTTTTTTTCTGTTAATCCTCATTAGAGGATATTTTCCCATTGATTTTTAGAGAGACTGGAGGGGGAGAAACAGAAAGAAAAACATCGATGTAAGAAAGACACACCCATTGTTTGCGTCCCACACAAGATTTAGCCTGCAACCAGAATTGAACCCAGGACCTTCCAGCCCGTGCGCCAATGCTCTCTCCACTGACCCAAACTGGCTACGGCCATTCCTCTATCTTTTAGTGTAAAACTGACTAAGGGTCCATTCTTTAGAGTTGTACATCATCTTCTTCTGCACCCATAAAGTATCATCTGTAACTGCCAGTTTGAATTTCTTTAAAATGTAGTGGTAGAACTTAAAATTGCTTTTAAAAAACCATGAACATAGAATCCTAGAATTTTTACAATTTTCATCTAGTTCAGAGTAATTTTTAGTGACTGTATCCATAAGTCTTTATGTAGCATTTATCAGTGTACTTCACACTTATTTCACTAATGTATAGATTTAAATAAATTAAATTTAAATAAACAATTATAGAATTGGCAGAAACAACTGCCTCTTGGCAAAGTACATCAGCCAACCAATGGGTGGCAGGTCCACAGGTACACTGGAGAATAATTTAACTGTGTAGGGTATTGAAGAATGTGCTTGTGGAAGGAATGCAGAGCACTGGGGACTGTAACGAGTCAGTTCATGTAAGTTGGTTAAGAGAATTTCTACTGAAGACTATTCCTTCAAGCTTTCAGACCACTCGGTGGTCAGTATGCCCACCTACCTAGCCAAATTTTATTTCTCACTTCTATTTAACATAAACCCAGCCTTCAGTTATATATGCTCTATCTTGCCTTTGCTTTTACCAAATTTGTCCTATTCATCTAAAAATGCCCCCTTTTCCATTCTGCCTGTGGAAATTTTACCCCTCTTCAAACCTAGCACAAAATTTCTCATCACCAGCCCAGGCTTCATTATGTCCCTCTCCTATCTATAATCTATAATAATAAAAGCGTAATATGCTAATTAAACCAGACATCCTTCCTGATGTCCTTCTTTCCAGACAAAGCTATGGAGGGCGGGGCTGGAGGCAGAGGCCTGAGGCAGAGGCCCGCAGCCTCCCAGCAGTGGGGGGAGGGGGGGGGGACAAGCCCCTTGCACGAATTTAGTGCATCAGGCATCTAGTGAGCTTATAAAGTACTTACAGTCTACATCATACAATTTATCCCTTTATTAAATTATAATCCTTCATTATCCTCTTTTTCCTGCATTAATCTTTCCCTTCCTGCTGGATTATTCCTATTAGCACACAATTATGTTCTATTATCTTCTAACTTACTTTTTTTAGTACCAAAAACTTTGTATTCCCCCCAAATACCACACTATTTTTCCTCTCCCCTTCATATTTCCTCAAACAGTTGCCTATTCATACCACTCCTACTTCTTCATCTTCCATATTCTTTAACCCTCTTTAACTCACTAGACCAGTGATGGCGAACCTTTTGAGCTTGGCGTGTCAGCATTTTGAAAAACCCTAACTTAACTCTGGTGCCGTGTCACATATAGAAATTTTTTGATATTTGCAACCATAGTAAAACAAAGACATATTTTTGATATTTTTTTTATATACTTAAATGCCATTTAACAAAAAAAAAATCAACCAAAAAAATGAGTTCGCTTGTCACCTCTGACACGCGTGTCATAGGTTCGCCATCACTGCATAGACCAGCCGTGGGCAAACTATGGCCCGAGGGCCGGATCCGGCCCGTTTGAAATGAATAAAACTAAAAAAAAAAAAAAGACCGTACCCTTTTATGTAATGATGTTTACTTTGAATTTATATTAGTTCACACAAACACTCCATCCATGCTTTTGTTCCGGCCCTCCGGTCCACTTTAAGAACCCATTGTGGCCCTCGAGTCAAAAAGTTTGCCC